TGTTGATCTTCAGGCCATGTAGCTCCAGTTCGCTTTTCCACTTCTGCACTTCCGCCTCCAACTCTTTTCTGCTTCTTGCCATTAACATCACGTCATCTGCGTACATCAGGACCCATGGAGGTTGACGTATGAAGCCTTTGACTATCGTATCCATGGCCGTGATGAAGAGGAGTGGTGACAGTACGGAACCTTGGTGAACTCCGGCGTTTATCTTGAAGTCTTTTGCACGTCCTGCTGCTGTTTGTACATGGCTAGTGGCATCTTTGTATAGCATCCTGATCCAGTTCACGTATTCTTCAGGCACCATGTGCTTTCGCAGTGACCACCATATGACATCGTGCGGCACTTTATCGAATGCTTTCTCCAGATCGAGGAACGCTGCATGTAGTTCACACTGCATTTCTCTGCTTCTTTCCATCATTATCCTGGCAGCATGGCTAGCATCTGTTGTGCTGCATCTTTTTAAGAATCCACATTGGTTCGGAACCAGCTCCACGATGCTTCGCAGTTTTGATTCTAGAATTCTTTCGAAGATCTTCAGGGTGTGCCACATCAGTCGGATGGGGCGGCACGTTGAACAGTCAGCTACGTCGCCTTTGTTCTTCCATATTGGTATTGTCGTGCTGCTGTACCAGTCGGTTGGGATCTTCTTGGACTCTATTATCTGATTTAGAAGTCGCGTTAGCCATATTACTCCCGCTTGACCACATTCCTTCCAGAATTCGTTGGGGATGTCGTCGGGGCCTGTCATTCTTCGTTCTCATTATGGCGATGCGGACTTCTTCTTCTGCGATGGTTGGGACCGGTCCTTGTACAGGCTCAGCTGAAGACGTCGATTCGTATTCGTGACTTGTGGATGCCATCTCTGCGAAGTATGCTCTCCATCTTTCTTTTATCTCTTGCGGTTCTCTGAGCACCTTTCCATGTATATCCTTGATATTGCAGAAGTGCTCTACATCTTTAGCGGCGTTTGCTCTTCTCTTCGCGAGTCGGTAGATGTCTCGTTCACCTTCGCGGGTGTGAAGCTTTCTGTAGAGTTCTTCCATGTACCCTTCTTTGCCTGTTTGACATCCTCTTTGCTGCTCGCTTCGCGTCTAGGTACTTCTGGTGAGCATTTTCTGTTTGTGACTTCTGCCATATCCTGTAGGCCGTCTTCTTCTTCTTTATCACGGTCTGTAGGTCTTAATTCCACCACCAAGTTTTCTTGCCAATCTTCGGTCTTCCGGGTTTTATGCACCCCACTAGATCACCAGCTACTTGATGGATGTTGTTCTTCAATCTCGTCCAGGATCGTTCTGGATCATTATCCAGTTCTGGTAAGGCAGCTTCCATTATCGCTCTAGTGCAGGGATCATTCTTAAGCTCCCACCACTTTATGCGCACACGCTCCGTTACTATCTTTCTTCTTCTGTCGATTGAAATACGCACATCTAGTAGCAGTGGTTTATGCTGCGGTATGCAGTCTTCGCCTGGGATAACCTTGCTATCCTTCACATACTTGAGTGTACGTTGCCTTACAATCCAGAAGTCTATTTGCGACCTAGGTTTCCACTGGCGTAGGTGACGAGGTGGCTGGTCTTCTTGATGAAGTACGTGTTTGCCAACGCCAGGTCGTGGGCAGTAGCGAATTCTAGAATGCGTTCGCCTTCATCATTGATTATTCCGTAGCCGTGATTACCATGACACCTTTGTACACCACTTCGTTGCTCTCCTACGTGACCATTGAGATGGGCAGGGCAGAGTTGGCCGAGAAGTTAGTGCTTTTGTCTCTGGCGAAGAAGGTCACGGGTTCGGTTCCGCGCAGAGGCTAATCTCTTTGGCAAAGCTCTTGCCCACGAATCCAGCGTCAGGCTGCTCATCCAATGGAAGCACGCGACAAGCCGGCTGAAGAAGACAACCCGTCGCATCAAGATGCTCTTTTATGTCACATCAAGTTCTTCGTGTAAAAGCTAGGGCGTTCCCCGGAGGCACGCGCATTCGAGCCCGACGGATGCGAACAGTATGCTAGGGTTACCGTTTCAGGGAGGTGAGCGGGGACGGCTAAAGAAGTTAGCTCACCATAGGCGAACATCAAAGTTGTCTTCAACAATACGTCTGGCGAACACCAACGTTGGATCCCTCACTGGCCGACATCGTGAATTGGCAGATCTACTCAGAAGACGTAAAGTCAGCATTGCCTGCATTCAAGAGACCAAATGGAAGGGAGAGAAGGCGCGAGACATAGGCGATGGCTTCAAGCTTCTGTATAATGGAGCAAGCAGTACTAGGAATGGCGTCGGCATAGTCGTGTCCGAAACATACAGGAATACCGTTGATCGACTGAGTGATCGTCTGATGAGCTTGAGAATAGATGCGGGAAGAAGAGTGCTCCAAGTGGTTACGGCATATGCACCACAAGCAGGATGCGAAGAAGCGGAGAAAGGAGCATTCTGGCAACAGCTACTTACTTCTTCCGTGCCGCATAATTTCTTTCTGTCATTCCTCGCCGTGTGCAAGAACCGAGCTACGGATCTGTCTCGTCCACCGAATTTCGCTATAACCAGATCAAGCCATTCAACGCTGCGTTCGAAGGAGCCCCTGAAGCAGTAGTGGTAGCACCAGCGCTATACGCTTTCGAATTCAGCACATTCGTGCTTATGATATTGTCACTGCGAAGTTCAGTCCAGGGTTTTCTGCCCTATGCGATTCTCGAAACCCCTGTATCCGTTCAAGCCCGAGAATTTCTCTGCCAACAGGCACAACGTTTCCTCCCGATGCAGTGAATGAGGTTCTTCCCCTCAAGGTGTTCAACCTAGACGCTGAAGAGCTCGCGTAGCTTCAAGATACGAGACTCCATCCTCACCACACCAGGCCATGAAACATGAGATGGGGAAGCTGTGCAACGGCGCATGCTCCGCTTTTGGCGCTTAAGCTCAACTGCCTGAGGATCGCCAGTCGCATCGCGTCAAAGCTGTGCAACGGCGCATGCTCCGCTTTTGGCGCTTAAGCTCAACTGCCTGAGAATCGCCAGTCGCATCGCGTCACTGCTATGCTCTCAAATAAATGCGTTTCCATGCTTCTTCAATTCCGTCTGGCCGAAATGACCAGAGGCTGGATATTCTGTCAAAGACCCAATGGCCCTCAAGATAGCAGGCTCTTCACGTTTCCCATGCATAGGTTCGATCACTCGTGTAACACTTGTAAGAGAAGTAGCTTATCAACATCGCTGCATCCCCCTGGTCTCATAGACCATTTTTCCAACGTCTACCGCTATGCTAAGTTCCACGAAGAAGAGTCAGTAATCGAAATCTGTGTACGCCTTCAGAAGCCGTTTGCAACTTCAAGTCTCACGATATCACCTCACGATTCAGCGTTAGTAGCTTATCCCTTCAGCATGTTGTGATGGACGCCGCTTATGGTGTTCCTGCGCTAACTTGTACCGATGTCACCGATCCGGTTTTCTTCGATCCTGCTGAAAACCTTTCATACTTAATCAACTAAAGTACGACAGCATCTTGCAACAGCATTCACATTGAGCTGCTCCCACTGGTAGTAATGCAAGCTGCTTTTGACATCAGTGCCGACAGTAGCTGTTTTGATAGCTGCATCCTTAGCGGCAACCTGCCCCGTGTTTGTCACCGCATCCATGAATACCACAATTCGTGGACACACTTTTGATATATACGGCTACAAGGATTCAGTTATGGTACGCTTTATCGCTCGTTCACAGTCCATCTACAATCTTACCTTGGTGAACCTCAACAGTGCTCGATATCTATAAAACCATGGCGGAGAGAGGTTGAAATAATTCCCTTCTATCTACAAGATGGTTAGTTTTCCCTTATTTTCCTGCTGCTCTACCCATGTCTTTGAAGTCCGGGACGGACTTGAAGGAAATGGGGGAGGTGTAAGGGCAGCGTTCTTTGTAGTAGGAAGTCATTGCAATATCACAGTGTTGGAATGTTATAGGATGCCATCGTTCATGTTATGAGAGCAGCGATTCCCATGCCGTCGGCGATGTCGAGCTCTGATAGCGCAAGGATATATAACAAGTCGCATAAGGAGAACTCCAAGTCATTGCGCGATGGACTTTCAACGACCAGCTCCTCGTCCCCGACATGGCCACCTATCCGCTGCTGCCATGGTCCACGATCCCACTTCGCTCCTGCTCCACATCCTGCATAGCTACTGGTTCCAAATGCAATAAATCTGTCTTTTGATGATTTGCCTTCGCACAATAAAGATGGACACACGTTTCCACTGTACACGCTTTCTCTTTTCCGCCGCGCGCAATTTCGCGGTCCGAAACGTGTTAAACGAGAGGGGGACAGATTGTGGATACAGCTCACATTTCAGCGACACTTCCTAAGAATTTCTTTTTGACCATGACGATTTTGTCGCCAGTGCTTGAAATTTTCCTAGACTGTTCAAAGTTCTGCAGAGACAGATTACCTCATTCGGCGTCCTCTCATGGCACACCCATTCTTGCTGCCCTTCTCGCATAATTTAGTAATATTGAACGATCAAACCATACATTTATGAGTCTTGAACTTTACATTATATCATAGTCGAAAATCATGAGAAAATTGTGTATATTATGGTAGAGCAGAGGTGCAGTAATTATCAGATGTATATCAGGAGAGTATGGAGACGCTACAGTAAAGAATAAAGAAAATTCGACTGGAGTGTAAGTTGCACGTCTCACTTGTCTGAGCATCAAAGGTTCTCTAACAAATACAAAGAAACTTTTTTTGCAAATAAACATCATACAGTTTGGCAGGATCTCACCTGGGGTAAAAGATGCCTGTGATAAGCATTTCCTTGTCAGAAGTGGCATCATGAACTAAATTAGCCTCCGTACTCCAGGACTAGCCTTTTCCCATGCTGCTTGCGAATTTGTCACCAGCAATGCTCAAAAGCACCAAACCATAAATGATTATCGAATCTCACAAGAAAATGGTTATGTACTTATGCGCTCATTCATTTTGCTTTGCCAGTTAAGATGAAAATCACACAACTATGTCAAATTTATTATGGTAAAACTTTTAACATAGTCTTTTTTAACATAGTCTGTAAATCACAAACGCAAAGGCTGTTATTAGACTCAAATACAACTCTTTTCAAAAAGAAGGCACAACCATTATTTACATGAGCGTTACATAAATCTATCTCTTGAAAAAAATAAGAAACCTAAACTACTTAACTTTGAACAACACATTACAAAGAAAAAACCATCTCATAAGATGGCGAAAACAATCTATTTCAAACAATGTTCGATAGGAATCATATAGTTTTATGACTAAAATTGAAAATCACCACTTATTGCAATCACTCTTTTTGTTCCATTAATTCTAGCAGAGTATGTGTATCCCACTGTGGTCGCATTTTGATCAAAGCCTGGTATTTGGTCGGTTCCGGAAGCGCTGTGAGTACCACGTCTACCACAGTGCACATTTGGATTGTTTGCTCAATAGCTGCATTGTTTCGCTCTTGTATTGTTGTGAGCGGGGGATTCCAGAATAGAGTCAGCTGAGCCGGCGGTCCGTCAATGAAGATGGGATCTCTAGCCATGTCCAAGCGCTATAATCACATCAATAAATTGAAGAATGGAGGTGTTAGACAAAAAGCTTGTGGTTCAGATATTTACAATTTATGACAACACCAGAACAAAAAAAAAACGATAAAGAAATAACCAAATCAGTTTTACACTCAAAAAATTGTTGAATTCCCAAAACATATAAAACTTACATTAACGTAGACCCTCTTGACAACTCCATATTGCAAAACCAAAACATCGAATGAGGCGTCCATTACGCTGATCACAACACCGCGAGCCTCGATAGGTCCATTCTGCTAAAAAGGTCATTCAGAAAAAGAACTTATCGTAAAAATCACTAACCTTGACGACAAGACCAAAGAAGGTGTCGTCACTAGAATCACTGACAGCTTTCGCCGCGAGTTTTTTGTCATTGCAGTGTTGAGCCTGGAATCATTTTGGTTTTCGCAGATACCAGCCACAATATGATGGGTATGAGTACTTACCAGCCTCTCTAGTTCATCCTTTGTCTTATCCATCGGTGGGCAATAGCCCAAAGCGGCAGCTAGTTGTCTGTGAACGATGATATCTGCATAGCGACGAAGAGGCGCCGTGAAGTGGGTGTACCTAACATAAAGAAACTTGACAAGTTGATAATTACAATTACAGATCTTGTGCCATCAGCGCACTATCAAATTTGTACGACTTACAATGGTACATTCAGCGCATAGTGATGATATTCTTCCTTCTTCTTAGCTGAGCCAGCGCACATGTAGTATCCTGATTGCATAGGTTTTGCTAACAGCATTGAAAGTACCTGACAAAAGCTTGCTTCAATCCTGATTTTTTTGAATGATCGGATTGCAGGCACACCTGGTTGATCGACTGCAGCAGAGAGTTGCCCCCTTGGAACTTGCTCAAGGAAGAAGCAAGACGTGCCGATGATGCTGCATCGAGAGGAAAACCAATCTTTTCACATACTTCAAGCTAAACAAATCAGATTTTTCGGTTCAATCGCCTGAGTTTAGGAAAGTTGAGCGCTAGGGATAGGATAGTACGTACAACTTCACGAAGAACCTTCTGCTTTGGAGGAGAATGCCTTCTTAAAAATGCTGTTTGAGGAAAGTGGGCTTCAATCTTCTTTGCCACAGCGATATTTGCAAGCAACATAAATTCTTTGACTAGCTTATGAGAGTCTTGAGGCTGAAAAGAAATTTGGTAATTTTCATACTGTGACTATATGACTGCTAACCTCTACTGCTTTCACGGCATAAGGCATCTTCGTGTCCTCGTTTAATGAAAACACCAGTTTTGGCTGCTCGATTCGCAATGCTCCATTCTTGACCCGCGTTGATCGTAGTCGTCGAGCGATCATGTGCAGTTGCATAACCTAAAAGTACGTGAAACTTAGTAAATCAGCATTTTATGCCTTATCTGTCACGCTTCTCCAAAAAAATGAGCTAATCTAACCTTTCTTCTGATGTCCGATAATGATATCCCATCATGGATCTGTGGATAATCCTCGTCAACCAGTGTCTTTTCTGGATCTTCGATGAATCCCTGAATATTAACCACTTTTTGCATCCACATACATTCTCGTAACTAGCTATTACCTGCACATGCTCATATCCCAGATGCACTCTGGAACGGACAATTGTTCTCCCAAACCACTCTTCGACAATGATACCATCCTTATCCATCTTCCAAATAACTGAGAAAGCAAGACGGTCTTTTCCAGGAATCAGACTGCACATATCCTCGGTAAGAACACGCGGCAGCATTGGGATTGACTAAAACGAAAGTCAGTAATCTGCATCCAGAATGACAGAAGAGACAAACCTTATGCACAAGATTGACCGTGCACGCGCGATTTGCGGCCCAAGCATCTAGCTCAGTGTTATCAAAAACGAAATGAGAGACATCAGCAATATGGACACCGACCTGAATCAAAGCTGACAATGTACTAACAGCGTACTATTTTAAGAGACTGAACGTGCCTCGAATCCAGGTGTTCCTTTACCATCACAATCATCAATCTCTTCAATAGACAACGCATCATCCAACTCGTGCGATTCTCTCGAACTGATTGTAAAGATCACATTCTCACGCAAATCACGGCGATATTTGAATTCTTTCTAAAAAATGAAAGTCTTCAGGAAGCCAGAACATAAGCAATTACAAATACCTCATCAATTGTCCATTGTTTCGATTCAGCAATTGGAAGACAATGCATAACAGAGACAGAAAATTCTCGCGTATCAACATTGTTGGCGAACAGAAGACCCTCTGTCTCCGCCTGTAACACTCCCGAAGGTTCCTCTAAACAGAGAAACCTATCAAAGATTTTTACCTCAACATCACCGGCTAATCCCAAAGTGCGTTCCAACTTTCCGCGAGCAAACTGAGCTGTAGCTTGCCACTCTACCATTCGTGCAACGAAAATGAACTTTGCGAAATCCTCAAGAGACAACATGACATATAACAAAAAAAAACCAAATAGATTGCTCAGAATACCAAGGTTTTAACTTTTAGTTCAAAATAACGGCGTTTTCGAAATTTTGCTATTTGTCAAAAAGGCAATTCAGAGTGATCTACACCTGTAGATTGTTTGATACCTCACTAGTACAAACTGTAGGATTTTTCGACTAGTGCATCTCGTAAAAAAGGTTAGAAATACTCCCAGCAAAAGCAACATTATTTTGCTGTGGGCATCGAAACGGAAAGAATCACAAATGCACGAAGATCATACATGATCATACATGGACCATCAAAACCCGTCAATACTCATAATTGATTTTGAATGCAAAGTATGCTACTGGGTCAGTAAATAGAAATCTAATTGCTACCTGTGGTCTCTCAAAGAATCCAGACGGTAACTGATCAGCCGGAATCATCATCCTCGGCATGCGAGAGTCAGTCGGAGAAAATAATGCCCAGTTACGGTTACCATCCGTCATCACTTTCAGCTGCCCCATAGCTGCACGGCAATTCTTCATTTCCATAATATACATGACCTAAGATTAATCATTTTGCCTTTCCCGCGTTTAAGAAAAGTAAATTACCTCAGCAGTTTTCTGTAGGCACACATCTGGTACGCCCCAATCTTCATCGGGCATTTCCGACAAAGTTCTATATGCTGATCGTTTTCCAGTGGAAGTACTCTGGGTGCGCTTAGGTACATTTAAGATCTTTCTGGCTAGCTGGGTACTCGCAGATGTTGCCAAATCTCCTATGCGTCCTATCGACAGTGAATCGATAATCTTCTGAATTTCAGGAGATGGAAGGCTGGGATGTACGATTGGTTCGGATGTTTGCTTCATCATGCATTCTCGACGGGCTAGCTCCAGCTAAACAACAGTTTCAGTTTGATTTTTCAAATAAATAAACTTACCTGCGCTCCAATTATGACCATTGCTTGCCTGCTGTACTTCTTGTCTTTGTTTGGAGGTATTGTGAGACTTAGATTTGCTTTTCGGATGTGTTGGTCAGTGAGTCCACCAATGGGTACCTTCAAAAACCAATTCTTCAAGGAAGAACCCGTTTGTAGCTGTGGTAATATGGAATACACTGATATAAATGGGCTTATGTTCGCAGACCTCAATTAGATCATCCGGTTTTGGAGCTGCCACTGGCGGGATCGTTATCGGCTGACCATTATCTTCCCTCGAAACATTCAGATGCCCAGCACGCCACGCTTGATAGAGATTTTCGCGAATCTGCAGAAGAGGACATACACTCAAAAAACAATAACTTTTGAATTCTATACTTACCACCCAGTTCATTCTCTCTTTAACGCGCACTACGACAACGTCTCCATGTAAAGCACGATTACGATCATGCACTCCGAGAATGAGAAGATCAAGCTGGTCATCGCCGTCCGGATTGTCCACATAGGACTCCTCGTAATTGCGCTGATTAACACGAAGTGAGCCCTGCAAATCGCGCAGTTTCGAAGCACATAACGCTCAAAAAATGTGATTGGTCATCCGTGGATTTCACAACTGTTGAAGACATCAACAATCAGAGAGTCAGTTCTCTCAGTATCCCAAAGGAATAAGTAATAAGTCCACCTTTCGGAAATTATCTCAGTATAACTAATCAAGAACGTGTGTGACCTATTGTGTGACCTATGCATTTAGTAGTTCTGCGTTTAAGTCTACAAAATGCATTCGCTTTCAGGTCACATCTCCGATCTCTAGTGGGTTCATTGCATACATATCATAGCTTGTCTTCAAAAGGAAGGTCTTTTTACGTTGTGCTGAAGAAAGCAGATTGATTTGCGCCCCGAGCGGCTGACAGCTAACGGGTGGTAGAAAACTATCGTTTCTTGAACGCCACCCCTCAACCCCGATGGGATGCGCATTATTGGGCGACGACAAGGAGAAACGGTTACTGCCAACTGGTGTGCAGGTGGCTGTCGGTAACCTGCGCACCTTCCGCCTCCATTCGCAAGGGCGGTATTAACGCAACTCTTTGATGTTTTCAGATGGAAACTCCCCGCCCCCTCCCAAAGAAAAAAATAATGATGGGTAAAAAAGGTCGAATGCTTCATGTTTACGATAGCATGAGATAATAATACTGAGCTCCATTCAGATTTCTTAAATCATTCGTTACATCGCTTCCTTTGCCGAGGCTAGCTTGAAAATGCTAAACGTGAAATACTCCGCCACTCATATAAAAACTGGCGCTCTGAGGGTGAACTAGCGCATGCTGTTTTAATTTTGGCCCACCCTATTAGCACCATCTTAACTGTTGTCAAGCCTATTATTCGTGATATAACATGTAAAATTTCTGTTAGGTAAATTGCCTCCTCTTTCTGCACTGTTCATATGATAGAGTATTGCATCGACAGCTAGGGATGCAGTAGAATGGTTGAAATGAAACCGCCATTCCAACCGCCTTCTATTGCCCTAGCTGCGGCAACCAATCATTTTTAAGGTCGGAATTAAAAGTGGATACGTCCTCGTGACACATAAAAAACTTTAGGCTTTCCATGGCAATGTAAACGAATGAAAAGCAAGCAGTGAACAGAAACAAAAAATCGTAACACATCTGAGTACCTTCACCAAATCGCCATTTGCTAATCCTCTTGTTACAGCTTCAAGACTCATATATGGCATAAAATATGGCTTCCTCGTTTTCTGGTTACTTGTCACTCCAACCGGCTGACTTGAATTTTGATACATCGACATGCTAGTACTGCGAGCACTTAATAGTTATAAGGCTCTTGCGGATGCAAACCATTATAAGGCTTACGCGGAGCGTGATGGATAATTATTTGGTGGTCTGTAATTCGCAGATCCAGTTGATACCGTCCTTCTCGGAGGTGTAGCACCATGGTAATTCAAACCACCTTGCGCATTCTTATAGATTGGTGCATGGTCTGTATTGAAATTTATGATGGAACAATAAATACTGTATGCTAAATCCTACTGTATTGATTGTGGTGAAGATGTGACGATGGTGGCGGTGGTCGTTGACTTGCAGACGACATATTTCGATCAAGTGGAAACATTGGAGAGAAGTTCACCCACGGTAGTAAAAAGTCAGGAGACAACGCTCCTCGGCCACATTGTCGATTGTCACGGCAGTAGGTTCCATCACCACCTAAAAAGTCGGTGTTCACACTGACAAATTGCTTACATCGGTGATTCTGGAGTGAACAAGATTGATAACTTCGAACATGGCAACAATTTCCCTACGTCATAAAGAAAAGGCTAGAGTGAATGGATACAATATCAATCAGTTCTTGAAGGAACTGTCGGTATATGTAGAGAGTTATAGATGCATACTTGATTTCATGAAGCATACCGCAAACAGGAGATGTTTTTAGTCGAAGGTGAGCTGAAGGAGGGACAGTGACAAGAAAAGTAAAAGCTTTGGAGACAATTAGTGAACTACTCGCAAACTACTCTCAAAATCTTCTTCAAAAAACTATACCCTGACAACAGTGGCGTACCCAGGATTTCCGCTCGGGGGGGGGGGGGCGCGACAAAAATTTTTTTCGAATGAAGGTGCGTGGCGTCAGCCACGCATTCCGAAAATTTTTAGGGGTGCTTCTGAAAATTTTTGCGGGTCCCCAGCCCTAAAGTCTGGAAAAGGGGGGCGTGGCGTCAGCCACGCCCCCGAAAAAAAATTTTTTTTACAAGGCTAAACTGAATTTTTAAAAATTTTTAAAAATCATTTTAATTATTTATAATTATAAACAAGTTACTTGCACATTTTTATAACCCATATAAGTAACTTTCAAAAATTTCGCGACCCATTCTCGGGGGGGGGGGGGGGCGCGCCCCCCCCCCCCTCGGTACGCCACTGCCTGACAACTAAATGACCCCAAGCCAAGAGATTTGATGGGCTTCGTCCATACACTACACCTATTACTGCTACCATTGCTGTCGAATGATGGACTGATCTTAAAGACAGTGTCCGGTCAAAAAGTCCGTTTTGAGATTTTTTGCTTACCTAGGCCTATTCGCTGTGCTGAATCCGAAAATCAACACTGGAGAGCTCGAAAACGGTGAAAAGGGTCTCTAACGCTTGAGGGAATTTCACAAGTGGGCGGGGTCTTCCACGCTATGAAGACACCTTTCACCTTCCGGAGGGATGTACTCGGTTCCGGCTTCACGCGTTCGCGCTTGACCGGTGGAGATGGTGAGGCGGCTAGCGGAAGCGAGAAGATGGCTCCGGAGGCTGGGAGCGTGACTTCACAGAGTGGAAGACTCCGCTCCCCACTGATATCCTTCTGCGTTAGAGTTCTTTTCGCCGTTTTCGAGCTCTACCATGTGGATTTTGGAATTTAGCATGGCGAATGGTCCCAAATAAGCACAAATTCCCAATAGACTTCTTGCCCGGAAACTGCCAGTAACGGTACTGTTCATCTATCACGGATTCTCTGTTGTACTGTATCTCCAAAAAACCAAAGCAGTAACACCGCACAGCAGTAATGTGGCCGCAGGCGTAGAGGTCAGCAGATAGTCAGCAGCATAGATGTCAGATCCCAAAATAGACTTCACAAAAACGCATTTGCTACAAACGAACTGAAAAGTCAAGGGACTCAAATGATTGTTAATTTCGGATTTTTAGATGCATGGCAGCACATCGATAGATTTAACAAAACAATACATTTATCCACCTGCCTACAGCTGTATATACTAGCAAAAAAGTCTAGTAACATTCGTTATTGCTGCTTCAACCCATCGAACTCAACTAATGCATCTAGAACATCCCTACAAATTTGACTGCCTGATTTTAGTCCGAGAGGAATTTTGGGTAAAGAGAAAATTGTGACAGAAGTTATTATTTCAACCTTATACGATATGAATTTCAAAGACTTTACAAATGAATTGAGTTTTCCATGTCAAGTTTTCCATGTCTGTGAAAGCCAATTAATGCGCAGAGACATTGCCAGAGCAATCGTCATTCCATAATTGAAGCCTAAGAAAAGCTTCTGCTTGATACAGTCTAGAAACTCAGCTTGCCTGCGTCATCGGAAGATTTTGATTTCAGCTATCATCCGCGACTAGTTAAATGAAGACGTGATCGCAGTAAAAAGCCGCAAATTTTGCTTTCAGGCAGGAAATTTCTCAAATTTATCCAGCTAAGCTGGATCTCAATCTGACCTATTGCGGTCGAAAACCTGACTGATGCGGACGTAGGTTGTCAGTCTATATAATTAGAAGGCTCGTATGAAAGATTTTTCAAAGAGGAGAAAGTTTACATTCTGCCTAGTGGGACAGTGCAAGGAACGACGCAGCGAAAACAACATTCTGAGAATCGATTTGTTATGCTGTGAATATATTTTGCTCGGGAAATCTTTGACAGTGCGACTATGGGAAAACCGTAAATCATATTTATTAAAAGCTTTACAATTTAGAGACCCCGTGATGCCCTGTAATGAAACTAGAACACTTACGAAAAGCTCCAAATATATCTGATCCACACTGTGCTGCTGCTGTAGCATAGGCTTCCATTGTCGTTTTGAAGAGTTCAGGGCGAAAGACGGTAGCATGTGGTCCTGCGTCGGGACGGTGAACTTAATGTCATATCAATACAAATATTTTAAGATGAGATTAGAAATGATGAAAAACCGACTTATAGAAGGAAAGCCAGGCACTTGTGGCATTTGTCGTAAAGCAGCACTAAAGATCGCTTCCGGATCAACATTATTTCCGACAAGGCGCTGCAAAATTGACCTTCCTATCGAAGCATTTGACTGTGATCTCATAGCTGCAGACTGCTGCCCATATCCTGGACCCATGACTTCATTCACTGGCACCTTGCCTGTTCGCACTTTTGCGCGACTTTCGCGACCCTTAAACTAAAAGCTCTCTCATCATTATTGAAAGGTTAGAGATGACTGACTTTCTTCTGTAACTCCTCCAACAAAGAATTCCCATTTGGACTGACTGTACTCGTTGGAGATGTTGACTGTGCGCTGTTCAGAATATTCTGAAAAAAATGTTTAAGTGGATGGAAGAGTAATTGATTCGCACATTTGTAGTCACTAGTAAACAAATATAGAATTATGAAGTTCGCGCATCCGTCCACTTTCAATAAATGAGCCTCTGTTGGACTCTAACTCTGATTCTACAGATGCGACCTTCCCTTCGCCAAACCAGTGTCAATCCTCACGCGCGTGCCAGATCTGCGTAGCCTGGTGGCTGTATCCCTAGATGATGCCTGCACAAAAATCCCTATGCCAAAGGGCTTAAATGCTATGATGATGCCAGTCTACGAAGCTGAGTTTAGAGTATTAGATCATTTTTGGCTAAAATATTCACATGCCTATGGAGAAAACTTGCCATTAAAACTTGATCTGTTGGCAAGCGACGTGGCAGGGTTATATAGCAACGCAACTATAAGGTACAGGATGTCTCATTGTGAGTGACAAAGCTTGAGGGCAGCGTCCAGGCAAAATTTCGTATGGAATTTTTTTCGCATACCTGGGCTTATTCTTCCCACCGATTCTGAAAATGCACCTTGGAGGAACGCCGAAAACGGGCTTTTCCAGAAGCTCTTGATTTGAATTTCGTCGCCTGGCGCCAAGTTTAAGACGCAGAGTCTTTGTGGGACCCTAAGTCTTGACTGTGTGCGGTATGCGCACTCTAGCTTATCGAACTAACTCGTCCCGGTCGCCGGGGTGTTCCGGTCGTCTCTGAAGCGGACTTCTCGTTTCAGAAGCAAAGGTGCATTGCCAGTTGGGCAAGAGCCTTACCAGGACGGGTACTCCTGTACTCTAAATTTTCGCATCTGCCCGAACGCTGCCTTCAAAAGGCTCAAGTCGTCACAGCCACCCCAGGCCTACTCAAGTCTTGCGCCGTTTCCGAGACATGACTGGGCATGTTTCGAGGCAGACTGAAGACTGCCGAGCGTGAGAAAGTGCTCAAGGTTGTGCTCATGAACGCCGTGCGAACCCGAGCAAATTGGCCGCGCGGAACTCGAGCCGCTGGAGCTTTGACACTCACACTGCGATGGGTTGTAGATCTCATCCGGGATTTGTGCAGAATCCAAACTACTACCTCTTGTCGTGGTCTGTCACCAGTATACAAGATGACTGCATCTCCTCATACTAATTTGTCCGTTTATTAGATGACTAGCTCACCTGGTTCACTTCTTTGAGCTTCTCCTTCAATTTCTTTTTGCTATGTCGACGCTTCTTTTGTGAAGTGGAGTTTTCCTGTGAAATTCCGTCCCTCTATTTTCAAGAAGGTCAAAGACACCCACCTTATTGTTCTCAATGTTGGCGGCTTCATTGGAATCGCTAGCTTTTGCTGTTGGTTCTGCGGAGGACGTCTTCGAATCCTACAGTAATAAATGGTAAGCAGCTATCTATAATGAGGTTCAAGAACCAACCTTCGACTTGGCCGACCGCTTGAATCCGCGCTTCTTTTTGGTGGTCGCATGTGAAGTGCTGGACGAGCTCGGCTCTACCGACTTCACCTCAGACATCTGGAAAGAAGTCTGCTCATAGACGTATAATTCATTGACTGGACACTACTGCAAACATATAGGGTGGAATTACTCCCACGTACTTCCTTATACATAGTCATTACGCAAGGCTGCCTAAATGTTGTAATAACTGTGTGCGGAAGTTGGCGGAACAGCAGTTGCGATATGGACGCAGTTCGAAAGTGAACAAAACTGCGTAAACATCAATAAAGTGCCTAAACTTGACCACTGCAGCAGTGCAACTTTCCATTGGACGAGAACGCAGTAGATTCATAGAGTTCGTTTGACCTTCGCTACAAGCCCATGCTGCAGAAATTTTTGCTGGTTTCACATTTATCTGTCACTACAAAGTTGAATCTGTGCAAAGTCGATAGAATAATTTATCGGCAAAGCCGCAAATTAGCATATTTGGACGTTAATTAAACGCTCAAAAATTGTATTCCGCAAGTCGCACTTTCCCTACATAATAAGCCATCAAGGTATACAAGTCTACGGAAAAGAACCGAATCTTTCGTTGGAAGCTAGAAGGCTTCCGAAAACCAGAATGTCTCCCTTCCCCGCTTCTCGCACTATTTATAGCAATTTAACAGCATTACATCATCACATTACATCATCAATGTGTTTTTATACCTAGACCTTCGATAACGATCAAACTCGCAGTGATCGAAATTTGCTGACCGCCATGCCATAGATGATCTCTAGAAATGATTACCGCATAATTGCCATCTGCATCGATTTCGTGCTTTACATTTACTACAGGCTATTGGTTTAGAGATCCAAAATTAGCTTTTCCAAAAGACGAAATGTCTGTACTTACGGTTTCTAGAAGATACCATTGTCATAATGTCTCAAAGCACATGAATTGTTTCAAAGCAGTAACACAAATGCGAATTAAGACGATTTAGTTAGCCAAATGCGCCGCTAATGAGCCAGTGTGAGGGAAGAAGGCCTCAGTTTACCAAAATGAACGACTAAGTCCTTGGATGTAAACGGGAGAAAGAAAATCTGGAAACACCTCTCCAATGATAGGATAGAATCAACTAACTGTCACTAACCTGCCTCGCGCCTCTATCGACGGATCAAAAGGTCAAAAACTGGACGATGAACTGGATGCTTCCTTGTGGGTTAACCTTCTTCACCGAAATCTTTATATTCTGCAAACAGGGAGGTAACGGATTTTACCTCAAATCTGTTATACACAAGTTTTCTTTACATGTTTTGTCACCTCAAAATTAGTCTCCACTTTCACCACCTAGCGAAACGTAGTATGTAGGACCGACAAACTTTGCTTTTTCCGAAAAACTTAGACTTTCTGATGAATCAAACATTCACTTTGTAGTTATATAGATCAGCTTTCAACGTAGACTAGGCAATGTGCACGTTGGAAGATCAAAGTTCTCCGTTTGACGGTCATCGTACACAGGATCTCTCATTTATTTTCTGGCAGAGATAAAGACTTGCCTCCGATTTGGGAAGTCAGGATCCCGAAGTCGAATTGAAGAGCAGTCGAAGTGTCCACCACAACCGAAGACGTGTGAAGCCGCTTACCAAATAGAACATCACTTCAACTCATTCTGACAATAATTTCAAAATGATATGGGAAATAATGAAAACTTGATAATGAACAACTTAACTTGTTTCGATATGTTAGAAAAAACATGACGCGCTTTACAAGTCAATACTTGTCAACACTCCAAAGATACTATAGTCTGCCAAAAAAAACGGGCGCGAATGCGGCACGCGTGCAAGTATAGTCTGTACTCTCTTCCGCGGAGCTACTACGCATAGGTGCGAAGGCCTGAGATGGGTACCCTCCAAAGTGAAGGGGGTCTCGGCTGTTTTTGACCCTCAAAAGTGAAGGGGTTCCAAAAATTGCCGACGTCGACCGGGGGGGGGGGGTAGAATTGGGAAAATAAATTTTCAATTTTTAACTTTAATTTTTTTGAATTTTAATTTTAACAATTTTCCAATTTTTTGATTTTAAATTTTCTAAATTTATTTGTATAAATTTTAACATAGTTAGTAAAATGTTTTCAAATACTTTTTTTTGATAAATATCATTTCATTATTATGTACCACTAGCTGGCTTACCCGGCTCCGCCGTATGTTCCGAATAGAAAATTCCATTTCTTAACCGATCCGGACCAAACTTGGCACACATACACTTCGGGCCCCGGCGGGTGTCACAGTCCACTTTTTGTTATCGATCGAGGTCGATGTTGTCAATTTTTTGCAAAATTTGAGCTAGGGGGCTGGAATTGGGCAGAGGGGTGTAATCGAGCATGCTGATTACCCTCACGGGGGTGATCAGCATGCTCGATTACCCCCCTGTGTCAACTCCCAGCCCCGTAGCTCAAATTTTGCAAAAAATCGATAAAATCGATATCGATCGATGACGAAAAGTAGCCTATGACACCCGCCGGGGCCCGAAGTGTATGTGTGCCAAGTTTGGTCCGGATCGGTTAAGAAATGGAATTTTCTATTCGGAACATACGTACACACATACAGACATACAGACATACAGACATACAGACAGACAGACAAACAGACATTCAGCTTTATATATAAGATAATGCGGGAAACGAAGCAAAAATCGGGACCGGACCCCCCTCACTGAGACGAAGCAGGTGCTGAGTTGAGAAAATACTTAGTTTGAAGTTGAGATATCGTGAGAAATCCAATTTTAAGAATTTCATGGGACGAGCGGTAATGAGTCGGATGGAAGGGCGCATGGTCATGAAACGAATGGCCGGGCGTGTTGTACGAGACTCGGAAAAAGACATTTTGTGGTTGTACTGTGGCTATAAACAGGGTCAAGCAAGGGGTGTGGCACACGATCGCTGGTTACGACCCCCCCCCCCCTGATTGCTGTCTTAATAAGACCCCCCCCCCTGAACTACATACCTAAGATAGCATTACCAGAGTTGAGAAAGACAGGCACAAGTCTTTCGAACCCCCCCCCCCCCCCCCATGAAAGCCCTCAAACGACCCCTTCTTCCCCCTCTTAACCTCTGGACCTCAAAGTGTGACATTCTGGAGGATACCATCTTAGAGTTTTCAGATTTCTGAGAGCTGTACGCCCGATTTTCTGTGACTGCATTTTACAATAAACGTAATTTGACGGCTGATTTTGATCTGAATGGGCATATTGAAAGAGCCATAATTTTCTTATGGGTGGGGTGTTCGGCTCCAAATTTCCAATGTAGCAAGAAGAAGCTATGTGCTCAATACTCATACCAGCAATGGAGCGCTTTCTGGATTCTGAAGGCAAGTTAGGGGAATGCGGCACACCCCCTTAAAAGCTGCGGCAGCCGCAGCTTTTAAGGGGGTGTGCCGCACCCCATTAACTATATCAAAAAAACATTTTTAGCGGACAGTATATATATATCGATAGCCTAAACCTTGTAGATTTCATAGGACTGTTTGGAGCCTGATTCGTCTTCTTAGCTCTGACAAGGGAAGTTCACTTATTCGAAGTGGCGATTCGGAAGGAGATCCATATCAGTGGATAGAGCTCAAAAAGCTGATCTTAGATATACCTTCTATATCTGCGATGCGTTGTTCTGAAAAAAGTTATTAGCTTTTCTAAAGCCAAATTTTCGTGCATTTTGAGTCGCAAAATCATGATAATCGCTGCACAAAAGTGTGCAAGCTTAATCAAACCACCTAATATAAGCATTTTAGGTCTAATTCGAGTTCATCCGAATGCTTTCAAGTGTTTTCGACCATGTTGTTCATCCAGAGGGTCATTTCATTCCTAGATCACACTTCCATTATGTATACAAAAATAGCCTCACAGCTTCCATCTAGAAAAACGCGTCGCGTCGGAAACTTTTTGGAAACTACCAATGGATAGAACGTAAAACGATGCTCTCAAATATATCTTCAGTATCTGGACGCGTTCTTCTAGATGGAGAATTATGGGCTTTTTTGTATATATGATGGAAGTGTGATATAGGAAGGAAATGACGACCTGTGGATGAACAGCATGGTCGAAAAACACTCGGAAACGTTCGGATGAACTCGAAATAGACCTACAATGCTTATTAGGCGGTTTCTTTAAGCTTGCACACTTTTGTGTTGCGATTATCATATTTTTGCGACTCAAAATGTACGAAAATTTGGCTTTAGAAAAGTTCATAACTTTTTTAGAACAATGCATCGCAGATATAGAAAGTATATCTGAAATCAGCTTTTCGAGCTCTTTCCACTGACATAGATCCCCTTCCGAATCGCCACTTCGACTAAGTGAACTTCCCTTGTGAGTAATATTTGGTGAAAGCACAGCGATCAAAAGCGAAAAATGGGAAAAACGAGATTTTGGTTGGCTTCTAATTCCACAGTTTGCAGGTCTTCTGAAGCGGGATTCCTGAGGTGGACAAAGGAGGAGAAGTGCTTTGTCTTAAGTGCAAAAACGGATAGCTAATTCACCTTTAAAACAAAGTTAATCACGTTGGAATTTGACCATTTCACTTAGGTAGCCTAGTATCTTGAATCTTCAGAATTCGCTCACACTTTGTCTACAGGGGTTATTTGACATGCTAATTATGGATAGGATACGAGTATCATATTATCACTATTGTCAGATTACCCAACTACGACCCCCTCCCCTTTTGACTCCTCAATACGACCCCCCAGGTGTGGCGTGCCGCACCCCACGCTTGACCCTGGCTATAAATTAAATAATTTGCCATTTAAGGATAAACGATAAATGGAAATGTTGTACACAATCAAAGATGTAGATAGTGAGTGAGGTTTGGGTTGAGCCAGAGTGCGCCACGTACGGGCGTACGTGACGTACGCAGCGTACGTTCGGTATATTTCATCATAGGAGCGAACGCGGCGTACGCTGCGTACGCCGCGTACGTCGCGAGGTCTGGCTCAATCCTTTGGTTGAGGCAGGTTTGGGTTGCCAACTATACCCCCCTTCGAGCCAAAAAAATTCCATATCTCGGTAGGGGGGTCCTCTCATAATTTATTTATTTATTTATTTATTGCACATATGATATAAAAATATATCATAGCACACCCAAGGTAAACAAACATCCACTTCTGGGCCCATTTATAGGTGAATCAGAGCTGTTAAGAATGTATAAAAATAACAAGTGCATTATCATGGGCTAGAATGGATTGATATAATAGCTTGATTGGAAAGCCACGTTGCAACCTTTGCTCAAAATAACAGAGGTATGGCGTTACAATAAAGCATGGCGTTACATAACTGAATGAACCACTTTCGAGCGGTACGTTTACGAGGTAGTGCCTAGGCGATACGGCTAAACCGCGCGTACCCAGGTTTTCATTAATACTACCTTCTGCCCCGCTTCCTCTGTGTTTGAGCAGCAAGTAGCAAACAATGTGGCGTTGGAAAGCTGAGTATGAGCTGTACATAAGTATGAGCCATGACGATGCGACAATCACAAATAGTTTTAGATGTAACAGCGCTGGGCCAATTATAACTGAGTCCAGAGAACATCATGAAAATCAAATCAAAAAAATAATCTGATTTCTTTTTTATCTTGTCGAGGAGAGTGTACTGGATATAACTAGGGCTGTCGCAAAAGAATCTGCTGAAGCAGGCCTTCTTGAGCTTGAATTTCACACAAAAATCTATGCGTCTTCAACTCGGTACTGTTGCTCTCCTTCCTTACAGCAGATCCTTTTGCGACAGCCCTATTTATATCAAGTAAACCTCCCTCTATAAGATGGTGAAAAAAGTAGATCAAGAGAGGACCTCCCCGCTGGGATATGGACCGTCAATTAGAACCACCCAAAATCGATTTTTTTGCTATAACTCTTGTGTAAATAAACAAAAATAAACAAGGAGCTGGATTTAGAATCTACTCTTCAAGAGCTTAGTGATATGTAATATGTGGGGGTTGCTTGTTTTTTTCGCCCTGCGACAGGGGTTGAGACGATTCAGTCATGGCTTCTCAGCCCCGCCCACTTTAATGCATATGGAGGGGGGGGGACAAACCTGAGATCGCATAACTGAATCGCCTCAACCCCTGTCGCAGGGCGAAAAAAACAAGCAACCCCCACATATTACATATCATTCGAAAGCTCTTGAAGAGTAGATTCTAAATCCAGCTCCTTGTTTATTTTTGTTTATTTACACAAGAGTTATAGCAAAAAAATCGATTTTGGGCGGTTCTAATTGACGGTCCTTATCCCAGCGGAGAGGTCCTTTTTTGATCTACTTTTTTCACCATCTTGTAGAGGGAGGTTTACTTGATATAAGTAGGGCTGTCGCAAAAGGATCTGCTGTAAGGAAGGAGAGCAAGAGTATCGAGTTGAAGACGCATAGATTTTTGTGGAAATTCAAGCTCAAGAAGGCCTGCTTCAGCAGATTCTTTTGCGACAGCCCTAGTTATATCAAGTACACTCTCCTCGACAAGATAAAAAAGAAATCAGATTATGAGAGGACCCCCCCCCCCCCTACCGAGATATGGAATTTTTTGGCTCGAAGGGGGGGGTATAGTTGGCAACTCAAACCTACCTCAAACCAAATCACTCACTATCTACACCTTCGACTGTGTACAACATTTCCATTTGTGTTTATCCTTATACACACAATACAATGGCAAATTATTCAATTTATAGCTACATTACAACCACAAAATGTCTGTTTCCGAGTCTCGTACAACACGCCCGGCCATTCGTTTCATGACCATGCGCCCTTCCATCCGACTCATTACCGCTCGTCCCATGAAATTCTTAAAATTGGATTTCTCACGATATCTCAACTTTAAACTAAGTATTTTCTCAAGCACCTGCTTCGTCTCAGTGAAGGGGAGGGGGGGGGGTCCGGCCCGATTTTTGCTTCGTTTCCCGCATTCTCGTTCCCTACACTCTGTAAATTGTTTTACCTTAGATTCTACTCCACTTCAAGCATACTATCATCTCACCTCAAAAAAATTTTTTCCTCCGTCCAAAGTGAAGGCGGGGGGTAGCCCAGGCTCCAAAGTGAAGGGAGGGTGAGATTCATATCAACCCTTCGCACCTATGACTGTACGTACCCGCAACGTACCCTAGTGTCGCCCGTCCTCAACATCTGCGGCTATCGTCCGCTACTTCCTGCGAACTACTAACATCCTCATCATGGTGGATCAACGACCTCCGAAGAAGAAGATCTTGTCGAAACGTTAGGTTAATAAAGATTCACGTACTAATCTGGGCTTGGCAAAACATCTTCTACATCACATTACGAGGAATAGCTAATTTCTTTTTTTGTGATTGTCTCAAAAAAAACATGTTTCGGAAGTACCCTAATTTCACGCGTATAAGGCGCACCTTTTCCGATTTTTCAATCAAACCCCTCAGCCGCTCCAAAGTATCTCGAAAAGCGAATTCTATGCCGTACGATTCTTCTAAGCAATATACAGCACGGCATAGGGTCCTTTGGCTGCAAAGTTCTTTAGCGTATTTGGGCTAGTCAATTTTGGAAAAAAATCCCCCGCGCCTTGTGCGCGTGAAATTAGGGTAGCAGTTATCAAGAAGAAGGCAAACAAGAAAGAAATTAGTTATGAAAGCGCAGAGTTTCCTTTTTACTGACAATGAGTCGAAATGCACGTCAAAACCGAAATTGTTTTTGATACGCCCTTTGAGATTTTGACCCCGCATTGACGTTCCTGCTCCTGCGACATCGTTTGGATTATTGCGCTTATTATTCTGACCAACAATCGCCCAAGCTGGGAAAAAAATCCGTGCGAAAGCACTGAAACAGAACAAGATTTAAAAAAAACGCACTTTTTACAATTTTTCACAAAAATAATCGAAGAGATAAGCACTGGATTGTTGTCTAAATTATGAACAAAAGCGAGATATAGAATGCACGAAAAAACCGCGTAAAAAGAGTTAAACTAGGGGAAAAACAAGCGATTCTCGAAAACAAAATTTTGCCGGATTTCTCATACAAATCGGGTGCGTAGCAAGTGTTACCCAGGCAGCCGCCTGGTGCAGCAACCAGCCGCCAGAGCTGGCACCGCCGCGGCTGAGCTACCGTAAGCGCGTTCTCGTAGTCGCGACCCTCGCAGAGAGATTTTCGCAGCAGCTTCGCACCTCATCGCGCCGAAGTGCGAGGATTCGCTCAGAGGTCGCGCTACTGCACATATTATATATGGATCAAGACAGCAAAAAATTTGTAGTTTATTAGTAAGATACGATACAAAAAATACACAAAACAAAAAAGTTCAAAATCCATTAAAATTTTCAAGCAATAAAAAATACACAAAAAACCTTATCACCTTCTCATAATCTAGAAATATTCTAAAATTTCCATCTAATTTCTCTTCCATGTAGTCAAAAATAAACTTGTCAGTTTCGCGATTTTTCTTTTGTGTGAGGCGAATAAAATTGGGACCTGAGATTTTTTTAAAATTTTCCTTCATTCATTTTAAATTTTCACGAACTTCAAAACCTCCGCCACACATCGCGTAAACGGTTCATAATTGTTCTTTTTCTATCCCTGCTTAAAAGTGTGAAAACACATAAAAGATGGGATATTATGCCTTGCGAGTCGGCTACCCGAGCTCTCCCCCTACTGGCTACTGCTAGCCTGTCGCGCGCGGCGCCTGCGTAATTGACAGTCACAAGTAATGGGATACACCCTTTCTACCCTAGTGATTTGCGAGGATGCAGCTCTAAAAATAGGGAGTTCATTAATTTTGAGATTAAGAAAAAAAACGAGGAATTGCCTAACAAACGAACAAAACTCATTTTATAATATTATTCTTATAATGTAATTTTATAATTATTCCATCAATTTATTTTTTTAGAACTTCTTTGTTTTTGTATTTTACATTTTATCTTGCTAATAAACTACATATTTCCTGCCGTCTTGATCGATATATAATATGTGGCAGTAGCGCGACGTCTGAGGGAATTCTCGCACCTCAGCGCGATGAGGTGCGAGGCTGCTGTGAAAATCTCTCTGCGAGAGGTCGAGCACGACGAGAGCGCGCTTACGGTAGCTCAGCCGCGGCGTAGATGCCAGCTTTGGCGGCTGGCTGCGGCACCAGGCGGCTGCCTGGGTAACACTTGCACGCCTCCCATACAAATCAAGAGATACGCTCTTGGGACGCGTGAAAGTAGTGATCAAGCCTTATATGATATATAGCTCGCTGAAATTGGGGTCGAAACAACAAAGAAAAAGGCACCAGAGCTAAATACCCCCTCTCCTCGTTTGGGGTAGCGAGGTAGCGCGCAACATGCGGAGAGGCAGATGAGCAGCGGAGGCAGACCATAGCCGGCGGAACATTTGGCTCTAGTCGTAGCTCTCTTCGGGGTCTCAACGAAACCCTGCAACATTATATATCATTCTGATCGTCATGAGATAACGAGGAGCACTGACAACGTCCTAAGCTTTGAAAATCACATATTAACGAGATAGACCAGCATTTTCGTGTGCGACTCTCTGCGCAAGACTTAAACACAGTGTCTCGTTTTTATCTGACTCCAACAGCTTTCCTAGATTGAAACTCAATTTGGTTCAAATAAGAGGTTAATTGAGAAATGTTGTCCTGTATTCTGGGGAAACTTTCACGGAAACCTTTTATTTAGTGTAATAAATGCTTTAAAAACGCAAATTCTCAGTCTCGCTAATAATCTAAAAATGTTCTTTTCTATATAGGGGCCTGCAGGATCGCGAGAGTCGGACGCGCGTACGGTCATTGCGCCGCGCACGTCAGATGCGCATCCGACGACTTAGGTAGGTGCCAGACTTATCCTGTTCAACAGGTTCATTCGGTTCACCACCTTTTCTGTTGGACAGCGTAGTGATTTGACCCATGAACCGAACGAACCAGTTGAAGCCAATATGTCAGGCACCTGCCTTAGTGACATTAGACGTGCGCGGCACAGCGGCCGTACGCACGTCCGACTCTCACGATCCTACAGGCCTCTATATTTGCTTCATTCACATTCGTTCCGATATAGTCAGAATTATGACATCCTGGGAAAATCCCCGGATGACTTCTTTTTTTCCAGATGAAGGTTGAGTCCTCTCATGGCTCACAGAGTGAAGGTTACCAGAGTACATGACTCTATGTATCGGGGGTATTGGAGTGACGGGTACTGTGCGTCTCGGGTCCAGCGCGACGGCCTCGTATGGGCTCTGCATCTCCGTGAGTGCGCTCTCTGATTATTCCCAGACTGACCGTAAGAAAGGCGGAGCTGCGCTAATCAAGCTTGGTTGGAGAGCGGGCTTGCAAAATGTTCGGAGCCCAGGCGGGCAGCCTGCTTGGGCCCAAGCCGCACGAGCCCTCATCACCATCTCACTTAGGTAGCCTACAATGGCGTACCGAGGGCCCCCCCCCCAAGAATGGGTCGCGAAATTTTTGAAAGTTACTTATATGGGTTATGAAAATGTGCAAGTAACTTGTTTATAATTGTAAATAATTAAAATAATTTTTAAGAATTTTTAAAAATTCAATTTAGCCTTGTAAAAAATTTTTTTCGGGGGCGGGCTGACGCTTAGGGGTTGGGGACTCGCAAAAATTTTGGGAAGATCCCCTAAAAATTTTTCGGAGTGCGTGGCTGACGCCACGCACCTTCATTCAAAAATTTTTTTTTGTCGCCCCCACCCCCCGAGCGGAAATCCTGGGTACGCCATATACTTGGGTAATTCGAGAATTTTTCATCGAATGAATGAATATCGAATAAGTTCGAAAAGGAAAAATTTCGAATAAACGAATATCGAACAAATTCGGAAAATCAAAAATATCGAATGAATGAATTTCGAATAAATTCGGAAAATTAAAAATATCAAATGAATGAATTTCGAATAAATTCGGAAAATCAAAAATATCGAATGAATGAATATCGAATATATTCGAAAATTGGAAGTCGAATTTCGAATAAATATTCGAATGATTTTATCGAATAACTAAAGCAATCACATCTCAAACTTGCCGACATATTCGGCTAGAGCCGATCCAATCATAATCAGCCGCCTAGTATCTTTTATACCAACTCCTAGCTCAAAATTTTCCAAAAACTGCTGAAATCGATAAAATAGATTTCGGTTTTGATTAGCATCCGCATTTACCCCCTGTACCAACTCCCAAGCTCGTAGCTCGAGATTTTCCAAAAATCGATAAAATTTACAAAGTAAATTTTTATCCATAATCAGCACCCTCACTTACCCCCTTGTACCAACTCTCAGCCCCGCAGCTCAAAGTTCCCCAAAAATCGATAAAGTCTGTCGGTCGGCTTCTAGTCTATATATCAGCAAAAAGTCATATTTTATCCATTATGGACGATCTAAAAAGCAGTCGGTATAAATTTTTATGCTGTGCTCAAAAGATTCTTCTTCAGATGGTCTGAAAGAGACTGATGTACACCAGAATTAACTCTATTTCTTATCAGCATCAACAGTGTAAGAGCAAAGGGCTTGCTCTATTTTCTACATCAATTAAAATCCACATATGATTTTTTTACTGTCGCAAGCAGTGGAAGAATGCGACTCTCCATACATTTCAAAGGTATAACGGTTGCGAAAGATGCATTACCCAGTTTTGCAAAAAAAACGCGTACGAATTGAGCTTGATACTCAGCAGTTGGCTTTGCAACAAAGTCGAATAATCTGAATACGGAGTCATTCTAATACGAATTCGAATAAACATTCGAATAAAACATTCGAATAAAATCTATTCGAAACCCCGTTTTTTGATTATTCGAGTTTTCGAATAATATTCGAAACCTCGTTTTTTGATTATTCGAGTTTTCGAATTTTATTCGAAATCCTGTTTTTTGACTATTCGAGTTTCGAATATTATTCGAAAATGGAAGAATTGCGAATATCGAATTTAGAATACGAATATATTCGAATGTTTTATTCGAATGATCGAATTTCTATTCGATTCGGACCCAAGTATAGTACGCCACTGGTAGCAGTATCTTGAATCTTAAGAATTCGCTCAAACTTTGTCTACAGGGGTTAATTGGCATGCTCATTATGGATATGTTGCCTATGTTATGTTTAAAAGGGCCTCCATGTAATGCTATCTCAGGTATATAATTCAGGGGAAGGGGGTCTTATTAAGACAGTAATCAGGAGGGGGGGTCGTATCCAGCGATCGTGTGTCACACCCCTTGCTTGACCCTGATAATATCATTCACCCTCTGACTATAAGGCGCGAGCACGCTCTGTGTACGTTTGATTGACAAGTTCATGGGTGAGTTCTAAAGCGTTTTCCTTTACTATTAAGTTCTTGAAAGAACATATTGGAGCTCGTTGAACATTGCGAGTTCGAACATGTTCTTTTACAAATTCTTGATGTTAATTTAAATAAATGGGTTAGAACGCATTCATAAACTTGTTAATCAGACGTACGCAAAGCGTGCTCGTACCTCCTAGTCAGAGAATGAATGATAGGATTACCTGTGTTAACAATGCAAGCAAACAACAACAAAAGGACACCAAGAAAAAACCATAGCTACAAATCACTCGGTATAGAGCAAAATAGAAAATGCAACAACGTTAGTCAAAGGGTATACTGGAGAAGAAAATTGGTAGTGGTTGAGGACATCCCAAAAACAAAAAATTTTACAGGGTGCATCTGCATAACGAGTTTATCAAGGTCACTGACTCTATTGACAAGAAAATTTTTTCTACAATACCGCTCACAAAATGTGCAAAATTTCCGTGAATATGCGAAATTCCGAAAATTCCGCGAAATTCCTGGAATTTCGCGAAACTTCGCGAACTTTCCGAAATTTCGCGAGATTCCGGAAAGTTCGCGGAATTTTCGGAATTTTGCGACATTCACGGAAATTTTGCACATTCTGTGAGCGGTATTGTATTCCTCCTCATTCTTACGAGCACGATTTCATTTGGATCACCTCTAGTTATTGAGTTTCTATGCTCAGAAAAAGTTTCTATGCTCGCTTGGGCTCACTTGACAGCCTCCAGATAATATTTTGTGTGTCATGAGAGGTCGAACTTTTTCCTTCTTCTTCTCAAGCTTTCCAACCAAACTTTCCTTTACGAAGCCTGAAGCCCGAGAGTGACTATATATGAACCCTGATTTCCGTACCATTGACTTCCTGGCAAAGCTAGTCGGGACTCTCTCTAAAGCGTGCTAGCAGTTGTGAAAGGATTGAATATGAACCAAATTGGAATGAGGGTCTAACCTACACATTGTATGCATGGATCAGGACATCTACAGTCGATGTCAATTACGTACTGCCTTTCGCATAGGACCTACGCATGCGCAACACAAGGGCCCTGTGCGCGGACCGCCAATCGATAAGGCCAATTTGAATGCCCGAGCCATACGCGCGCGAACGTGGCGCGAAACTCACTGTGCTTACGGAAAAGGGAGCACGTGATTAACACGAACTGTATATTCTTGGTTGTAAGAGCTCTGAACAGGTTGTGCACCGCAGCCGCACCTTTGCCAGCAATTTTCACGCAATAACAACTCGTTTTGTGGTTTTTAATATGAAAAAAATTTGATAAATACTAATTAGGAACGCAAGAAATTCAATTCCTTTTTGTTCATTTTCCACACTATCCGGTTTCGGGGCTTAGAACTATACCGGTAGTGCGGCTTCCTTGGTGCCCCTCGTCAGTAGTTCCCAAGGAAGCTTCAAAATTATCAAATGAAAATCTAAGATAAGATCTAAAACAGAAAATGGCGTATAAAGAACTTGAGTAAAGAAGTGTTTCAATGTTTTTGAATGGGAGCTTATTATCAACCAGAAACCAAGATCAGTCACTTCATCCATACACTCCATTGGTTTGCCCTCTAGCTGATATGTGTACTCAACATTATTGGCACCTATGTGCAGTATAGTATTTTCCTGGGAAATCGGTAGCCCCATTCTTTTGAGCAAGTCATCACGATATCAAGTCTTTTGCACCGGCGGACCTAGAGGAGGGGCACGCCTTCCCCCCAAGAATGGTATCGAAATTTCGAATTTGTGGGTTATAAGAATGTGAGTGATGTGAGAAAAAGGGGGCGTGGCTCCTAAGTGGTTATGGGCCGCAAAAATTTGGAGGAGCACCCCAAAAATTTTTTCGGAATAAGTGGCCACCCATCTTAATTTGAAAAAAAATTTCGCTGCCCCTCCCGGACGGAAATCTTGAGGCCGTCCTGGCACATACTTATAAATACTGGATAGTAGGACAAAACGCCACCTTGAGGTGCTCCATTGCTCATAAGTCTAGGACTGGAAAAGGCATTATTCACACAAACTAGAATGCGGTTGGACAGGAAAGCCTTCCAATGGAGGTGTAGGCCCTCTTGTACCAGTTGCGCGCGATGTACGCGTCGGTGGGCGTGGCTTCGCACGCGGGATTGGACGAGTGGTTACTCGGCGGGAAATATGATTGATTTGAATCCTAGCGTAGCTCGTGTTGCAAAAACATCAGATTTCGTTATTTGCTTGTGTTTTGTTTCTAGTTGGGGTAACTTCGGTTGCAATTGACATTTTACATTCCAGTAAATGTAATGGAAACCGCCATTTAGCAGTGAATCAGCTCTGTGTCGTCTATTGAGATGACCGGCTAGGTGAGTACGCTGTGGTAGAATTTTTAGCATCTGTAATCTATCACTAATCAAACGTCGTTTAGAAATTAAGCAGGCATCAATCTTGTCTGCACAATGGTGCCTGTTCGTATGTTGCTAATATCTCTCAGCTTTTGTAAGATAAAGGGTTGAGTTTTCTGTAAAGGGTCTCCCTTTAACATAATGGTGATTAAATCATCGTTACGACAGAACCACATATCAAGATTACGACCAGGCAGCTAGGAAATGTCATAGCATAAACTTGATATTAGTTGAAAAATGGAGGCAGTGCCCTACTTTCAAGTTTAGAACAATTCTACTTTTGAAGATTGGATTCGTTGAAAACTTCACATTAGCGTTGTACTTAAGGGCAATGATTTTTGGGAAAATTTTGTTGTTTTTGAGAATTGCACGAGACTTACGAAATCCAGAGTAAAAAACGCGCGTTCCTTTTTCTATGCAATTTGACCACTGTTGATGTTTGTAGGAGTTTCTACAAAATTTGCGTTTGTCGAAAGCATGACAGGCGTAGCAGCAGTCGTTACTTTTACGATTTTTGTTCTTTCTGGAGAGGTGAGTTAAAGTTATCTTCATCTTGCCATCAAACTCATTGGCCATAACGAAATCTGGCAAAATGCCAGTAATGTACATGGGTCCTACTACGGGCCCGCACTGTAGCGTCCGGCATAATTTGTAAACTTGCACTGATGTGTTCTGTACAAGAACAAACCTTGCTGTTGCTTTGTTCTTGCAAAATCAAGAGCAAACTTCTTTTCTTGTTTCATTTCCATCATTTGCGTCCTTCACAGGCTTCGAATCTTTTTTGGTTAAGATGCCTTTGCAGCTTAACGGTTCCACAGCTATTTTCGTTGCAAATACTAGACAGGCTCGTGTAGTCAACGTCATCACACGTGTGATGACTGTGCGACGCCTTCTTCCACGTCCAATTGACACTCCGCTTGAATTCCAAATTTGCATTCCATTTCTGCGCCAAATAGTAGCAACCAGTCTGCGCCAGCTACCACGTCAGATACAGAAATTATGTCCATTGCTTTACATACGCAAGAAGCCAATTCTTCTGCTGCACCTGCATTACATGAAGCGCTATTTCTCTCCCCAAGTTATGAGAGTAATTCTTCTCCGCAAACTTCCCCTAATCCCATTTCAGGTAGATATATAGGTGAAAGGCAGGTAAGTAGGTTTGGAAAACACTGTGTCTTAACCTATAGGATTCCAGGAGAAAGTCGGTGTTATTGCTTTGCGTTCCACAAGAACAAGAGGAACTGCAAAACATACAAATTCTTCAGGATTATTCAATGTATTCAGTGCTGCAGAGACGGACACTTTACGCAAATCGACTAAGTCAACTAATCGTCTTGTGCGATGCAGCTTGTAGTGATTGTATTTTATACAGGTGGTAGGTGACGAGTTCCAAGAGGGCCCATGTCGAATTTCGCATCGTTGTCTGCCGAAAAAAATAAAGACGAATTCACTCGAGCGTTTCCTTTACCAAAAGCTACAAAACATCAGATCGGATTGGCGTATGCAGATACTGTAAGGAGGTATGGCAGGACATGTTAGACGTGATTCTACTTATGGAGAATCTGAGTGAGCCCAACTATCTCTTTGATCAATCATATAACGACGAGTTTAGGTATTGAGGAGGTGGAAGAACTTATGGATTGATATCACAAAGGAGGTTACGCAGCACGGAGGCGAACTATCGCTAAATCCGCTTATGTTGCTTCTGCTTGTGCATGTCTCGGCAAAGTTCACGTTTCAGAGCAGTGCAGAGACATTACTGCCCGGGGCTACATTGGAAAATCTACCTAACGACTTGAAAAACTTACCGGACGCCCTTTCTTGCAGCTGAACCAGCCAGGATTGTACATGTTTTACTCAAGAACAACATTACAGGTAAACGGAGTTCTTTTCTACTGCTTGAGTTCCCATTGCTTTACAGAGGGCTAAAATTCACGGCGTATGTAATGCCGGAGTTGGTAAGTCCTTCTTTGAGTCCTTTTTCACATTATCCCATGCAAAATAGTAGGTATATTTTGGATGTGCCACTTACCATTATTGATGAGAAGGAAAAGTCAATCTTTCTACGAGAAGGTATTCGGCACTGTAAAAGAGGAGCTTCATGACCTAAACGTCGATCTGGCCCTTTACGCATAATAATTGACCTTGAGAGAGCAGCATTATCAGCGATCAGGGTAGGAATGTTTAGCACATAAACATTCATGACAAGATGTTTCAGAAACATGTCCCAGTTCACTTATTGAGGGCTTCGTCTTCCGTTTGGCACATTGGAAGGCACAGTTCCTCGAGCTCAGATCAGAAATGAAGCAAAGAAGAGTTTCCAGTTGCTGGATGACGATCAAAGGAATGACTTTTCTGCCCCCTCAACTGCATAAAAAACGCCAGCCTTTTTCGCACCTCCAACAATCCCAAACACTCACCCTGCTTACATCAAATGCAAAAACTTTCTGAGTTACCTTCATAAAAATTGGTGCCGTGGCCCATTTGCAAGTGTTTGGAGTAAATGGGGGAAAGAAGAGGTCAGAATTAGCAACATTGCCAAGTCATATCATAGGTCGTTTTCAAAATGGAGTAGGCGAAACATGCCAGGTGGAGCAGCGCTTCCGCACCGCCACTGGCTCAGCGAGATAGACATGAAAAGACGCAGACTGCAAATCGGCGCGAATCATTGCGAAGCGGACTCCCGCCAGTCCAATTTCCGCCTAATCTAGGTTTAAACTACCATAAGGGTAACTTTCAGTCTGTGAAAGGTCAATTTCTCTTGAATCCAGAGTCCTTCGAATATTCATACGCGAGAACCAAGCACAAGTGCGGAAGACGCTACTAGGTTTAAGGGGCAGTAGTAATAGAGCAATACGCAGCACCTTACGTAACCCAGAAAGAGTAAACATCTTTACGCATAGAGAATGTTCTGGTAAACCAGTTCCTTAGGGTGTGGTGCGACGGCTAAGAAGAAAGGACCAGCTGCGACGCGACAAAATAAATAGGCTGATGCGCGAATATCGGGGACAGTTGCACCTTGTGTCTCCATTAGAGTACTGAGACGTTACTTCCGAAAAATGGCTCGCTTTGTTTCTGAAAAAGTTTCTGAGTTTTGCTTTGTATAGGAGTCATTGTGATAAGATCACAATTTTAGATAAAGTTATAACTTCCGTTATAAAGGCACAAGCATTCTGAAGGTCAGAAGCAGGGCACTAAATTTGCAGATATTGTTTTCCAACTACATCGTACTACATACTTCTCGAACTCAAGCGAACTGTGTGGCGATGCCAAATGCGCGGATGTTCGCAGTGTACTTGTTTGCCATCGCTCACGTCCAAAAAATAGTTTGCGATATTTTTCTCGCTCACTTTTTCAAGCTGATCCAAGAGTAGCAAAAAACTGGACTTGAAAATCCATTTAGCCATGTTGCGGCCACGTCAACAGCAAAAGTGTGGGGGAATGAAAGCCGCCAGTTTGAGCCGCCTTTCGCATCCAACCGGTCCTTTCGCAGTGTTGTTGCATGTCCTTCCAGGACCAGCAGTCCGCGGAGGCGGCCCAAACTGACGGCTTTCGTTCCCGCACCCACAGCAAAATATGGAAGGCATACCAAAAGATGGAACGATTAACTCGGTGTAGACCGTGTGCCATGTAGGATACTCTCAGGCGATGTTCGCCATCTGATCGCAAAGACATCATATTGTGACTCAAAGGATATTACAACTTGTATCGCAGTCATGGAAACTCTAGTAATGACTCAAGAAACAACAGAAGGCACTGGCAGCGTATACAAAACTCATAAAACGATTAGTTCTTATAATGCACAATATCATTATGAAAAAACTGCACGACAAGAAACTCTCATTTTACTTCCGAAAAAATGATCACATCTACCTTGTTATGAAACGTGCAAGATAGGATCAAACAGATTATTTGAAAGTTACTGTACATGAAGTCGTTACCGTACACTAGTACATTGCGGAAGACGCGCGGCGCGGCTGTACTGTCACGAGAAAACAATTTTTGAAATGATTCCGACTGGTACATACAAGTGTTTGAACAGCGGCGCGCGTTTCGCAATCTACGGTCAGTCCGTCGCGCTCAACGACTCGAATATATTCACGGCATACACAACCATGACCGAGTCAATCAACGAATTGTAACTGCACTGCATAGCAACTTCCGTTGCGTCACATGCCGACAAACAGCCATCAGCTTTTGATCTCTAGTGCTCGACCTGCAAACAGGCTTGATCAAATCTGCTAGTCTCCGGGCTATGAAAGTTATGAACTCTGCAAGGGAACCGCTGAGCTAATGAACTCAGCAAACATTAGAAGGTTTGGAATGCAAAAAGAATCAAAAATCAATTACTTGGTGACTAAAGTGGTGTTGATGTGAGCAACAAAGACCGCGGTCTTTCATGTCAGCTGTTGGCTCGTCGCAACATTGCCGGAGAGATCAAGGAGAAATAGGTAAATTAAGAACACAAATTTAGGGCGATTCCTGCAGAACCCGGCTGGGACAAAGTAGGAGAGAATAGACAAACGCAACGCAAAAGCAAAGTCAAATGCAGACTTGTCGCATAACTATGGCGGTGTGGAATCGCATCACATCAATGTTCGCCTTGGATTGGGACAGACTGTACATACGTTACATTGCAAAAAAAACATAAAAACACAAGCATCTTATTGCTCTGTTTATCACTAGCAAAACTCATGAAATCATAACACCTCTGTATAAACAAAGAAAAAGAACTTAGGTTTCTGACGACCTCTCAAACAAGCTATTCGGAAAGTGCTTACGTGAATGCAAGGAGCTCAACACTGTTGGCGATAGAGCCGTCGAACGCTGAAACTGAATCATCATGACAGCCACCAAGGCAAATTTTTAGATCTTACCAGTGCTGCTGGTTGAAACGACCAAACCGAAGCGGTGTTGGACCTGTGAGTGGTGCCTGAGCGAAATGGAACAGGAGAGCCACATAAAAAGGTATACTTACACAACAAACATCAGACGACATCGGTGGAACTGGAGCGGATTTGAGAATCAGCCTATATCAGAGCAGTATATTGCGTATTAACAATTAACATAAACATAACTTCCGGACAACTTAATAAAGCGCGTTGATAAATAATTGCTGAAAACTAGAACCCTTCGTTTTACCATGTCTAACTTTCGCTAATTTTTAGAACTTTCATTTTAGGCTTTTGAAGATGCTCTAATAACCATTTGATGGGCAAACCTTTTTCAAATTGATGCCAATTTTTCGCATCTCTCTGGCGTGCTTTCTAGAACTACTAAAATACATTTTCTAAGTGACCAAATTTTATATTTAGTTCATTCTAACTTCGCAAAACATCAGACGTTGAACATTTTAGGTACCATCGATGCATCTTTTTCTCCTCTTTCTGAAAGCTACTTTTCTTCGCGAAACATGCGACCTTTGCAAACAAAATCGCTGTACTTCCGAATCTTACGGGTGCACAAAATTGTAGTCGAAATTTCAAAATGCATCCATTTTTACGCCGTAATCACTCATTTACTTCATAATACTGGTGATAGTAATGATCGAGTTTAGAACTTCAGTATTTTGAGGATTCGCAGTGTTTGGTGCAATTACGTGTCACGCGATATTCTCAAAATTCAGTGCTGTGGTAAAATAATTCAGCAAAATTCTAGAGAGGAAGATGAAAAAATGCAAAAAATTGCACTAATTTGAAAAAGGTTTGACTTATCAGGGGGTTATTAGAGCACCTTCAAAAGTCTAAAATGAAAATGTTAAAAATTAGCGAAAGTTAGACATGGTAAAAATGAAGGGTTTTAGTTTTCGGCAATTATCTCAGGCTCTTCGAAGCTTCACAAGGAGGACATAGCCGGTGGAAAGAGGAAGAAATTCTGCATCGGATACTGCTAAAATAATTTGTCTATCTTTATTTTGAACGACTTTAGAATAGGTCTAAAAATGGCACGATCTTTCGGACCTACCTAATAAATAGCTTAAAGTTTACAAGGACTCACCAGCAGGGTCAAGCGCGGGGTGTGGCACGTCACACCTGAATTCGTATTGAGGAGTCAGGGGAAGGGGAGGGGTCGTTATCGAAGTGGTAGCGATGTTTGCGACATGATATCCGTTAATGTCAGATAGACCCACTATGCAAAATATCAGCATTTATGTTTTGGCATACCGTCGAATAAGTAGTAAGCATAATAAAGGAACTCTAAAATCATAAGAGCGCCATCGTGATTAACATGCCAAATAACCGCTGTGAGCCAAATTTCTGCGAATTCTAAAGTTTTGAAATATTGGGGCACCCAGAAGATGGTCATTTGCAAGCAAGTTAACTTTGTTTCAAATGTGAGTTGACTTCTTTTTTG